TCTCCCCACTCTAATTGATCTTTTACAGGATTGTCGAAGTGATTTTCCTAAAGCATAGATCTGACTCTATTGGTTTCCTATTCAATAAACTCCAGTGAATCCGTTATTACCTCTAAGATCACAGATAAATTTCTCTTTGAGGTTTAAAGCCTTCTACAACCTGACCCCAAGCTACCTTTCCAGTCTTATTACATATTTCTTCTCTTCCTATCCTCTATGGTGTGGCCACACTGGCCATCTTGCTGTTCCTTATACATGGCACCCCATCTCCCTTTTTGCACTGGCTATTCCCTATGCCTGGATTAGAGTCCCTCTTGATGTCTTCACCTTAGAATCCCTAGTTTCTTTAAAAACTCAGTTTGAATGTCATCTTGTACATGAAATCTTTCCTGGAGCGTGCCCCGCACCCCCATTACCTTATATTTCATTTGTATCTACTTTCTATATACCCATAAAGATACATATTGGTTCCCCTCCACAGATGGTAAGGTTTTCAAGGGTAAGCAATGTATCACGTTTCTTTTTATATCCCCAGTGCCTAGCACATAGTCCAGGGTTAATATATCCTTGTTGCTTGGTTGATCTGCAAAGAATGTATTAATATTGGGAGCAGTCAGAAACCAGAGCACTATTTCCCTCATAACATGTCATGTGACATGTACCGGCATCCTACCCTTTCTCCAAGGTCAAGTCTTACCTCCTCTTTGAAGGTAAGCCTCTTTGAAGGCTTCTCTTACTACTCTGGTCACAGATTTCCCCATACCCTAAACAACTATATTACTTATAAACTGTGTCACATAATTTAACAATTAGGTACTATTTGTTAAGTTATTCTCTAAACGCTTAATTTGTGTTAGAAATGTCACTCTAACTAGAATATAAGCTTCCTGAGGACGGGAATCATGACTTACAAATCTCATGAATCTTTCACATTTCTACATAGATAGGAATCAGCATACAATAAGTCCTCTATACATACTTAATAAATTAGTTGATTAGTTGAAGGATCGATTCATTGAGAACTGAAAAGTGACAAGAGTGACGTTAGATTTCCTAGCTAAATAGAGATTAAAATGATTATGGCTCTCTGTAACCTTAATGATCCCTAGACATAAGCCATATTCTGAGATGTCCCAATGGGAGCTCTGGATGAGACAATATAAACCAAAGATAATAGTTTAAGGGCTACCCCCAAAGATTGAACCTACTCTATATAAACACAGAGTGTTCAATGCTGTGCCATGTTGCTTTTATTTCTATACATATTTTTATCTCCTGTTGGAATATAAGCTCTTTGAGGGTAAAAACTATTTTCTCCTTCATTTTTTTATCTCAAGTAATAAATGTCTTGCCCAGGGTAGGCACCAAAATATATGTTGAATTATTGAATCCCTCACATGAAAATACTGTGCTTGATTGAAAGGATTTTATGAAACACACACAAACAGACTTGTGAAACAAAGCACCAATCCTTCCAAGAATGGAAAAAAAAGTCTTCCACTATGACCACTAGACCTTGCTCCTATCTCCCGTACTTCCTCCCTCTCAGAGCAAAGCAGCCGAGTTCCATCAGTCTCTGGCAGCTTCTAAAGGGAAGGTAGCAGACAATACTAATTGGAAGGATCATTGCAAGATGTCTGAAATATGCCCAAAGATATTAGATGAAGCAACAGATACTGAATACACACTTCAAAATGTACCTCTTTGAACAGCTTAAAGCTCGTTGAATCCAGCTGAACATCAGCCTTAGGACACACATGCAGGAATGATCAGATGAATACATTTGGCAGTTTTTGTTCCCAAGAAAACTGAGAAAGATAAAGATGGAATGTTCATGCACGAATAGTAAGCCATTGATTTCTAGATGAGAAGTACTCCTGCCTCACAGGGCTGTTGTGAGGACCAAATGAGATAATATTTGTAAAAAACACTTAGGACAGTGCCTGGCACATTGTAGGTGCCATATAAATGCTCACTCCCTTCCCTTCTCCACTCTGATCCCATGGTCCTTGCCCAAAGAGCCAACATGTATACATAAATATGAGAAACATCAGAGTAGATAGACTCTTAGAGCCTTAGAGGGGATGGTACTAGCCCCAGGGGAAACCAGAAAAGGTTTCCTGAAGAAAGGGACTCTGAAAAGTGAAGATTAGGAAAGAAATAATTCCCACAGTGGAGGATATCCAATGCAAAGGCTGTAGATAGTAAGTACTTAGTAAATGTTTGTTAACTGACCCAGGTGGAGCTCTGTGTGTGAGAAACACAAAGTAGATCAGTCAATAAGCATTTATTCTATTTATTTATTTTGCTTTTTTGGTTAGGCAATCAGGATTAAGTGACTTGCCCAGGGTCATACAGCTAGTAAGTATCAAGTGTCTGAGGTCAGATTTGAACTCAGATTCTCCTGACTCCAAGATTGAGTTCTATCCACTGTGCCATCTAGCTGCCCTAGGATAAGCACTTATTAAGCACCTACTATATGCCAGTTACTGGAAGTGCTGAGGATGTGAAGAAAAGCAAAAGAAAGTCCCTGCTCTCAAAGACTTTAGTCTAATCGGGGAGAAAACATGTAAACAGCTATGTACAAACCAGATATACCAAATAAATTTGGAGTTTTCTCAGATGGAAGGCATTAGCATTAAGGGGATTGGGAAAAGCTTCTTATGGCTGGACCACAGAGTGCATGGATGGGAGTAATGTAGAAAAAGTGTGGAAGGATAGGAAGGGGTTGGGTTGTAAGGTGATAAAAGTCTTTGGGGAGCAAGAAGAAAGCATCAGTGGAGTGCCAACGTCAGGAGATCATATAGGACTTTCCCTCCATTCCCTTTTCCACCCAGCTGTTGCTACCATAGACTTAATCTGATCATTTGTGTACCTTATAACTCCTGGAGGGGCCTCTAGATCTATATTTCAGACCTTATGACTGGTACCTTAAGATGGTCTCATAAATTCTTTGGTCCTTTGACTCTCTTTTGGATAACAAGGGAGTTAGATCATGCTCAAAGCAAGCCTGGGAAGTTGGCTCCAGGCTCCCAGGGAAGAGTTCCCTTGGGGCAGCAGTTCTGTTCCAAGTCTCCCTTTGGTTCAGTTTATTTTCAGTCACATAAACTCTATAAATTAAACTGACCAAAAGAAGGCAATTGGGAGAAGCATTAGTTTACTCCTTCCTGAGTGAGGGGAAATCTCCATGGGCAGCTAGTTGGTACAGTGGATAGAGTGTCGGATCTGAAGTCAGGAAGACTCATCTTCCTAAGGTCAAATCTGGCCTCAGACAATTTACTAGCTGTGTGCCCCTGGGTAAGTCACTTAATCCTGTTGACCTCATTTTCCTCATCGGTAAAATGAATTGGAGAAGGAAATGGCAAACCATTCCAGTGCTTTTGCCAAGAAAACCTCAAAATGGGGTCAAAAAGAGTTGAGCAGGACTCTAATCAACTGACCACCACCACCAAAAAAAAAAAACGACAAGTGAGGGAAATGAGCTGAGCACCTGGAAGGGTTCTGGGAGTTCTTTGATGATTAAAAAAAATTTCACCATGTACTGTATATATTTCAAATTTAGGAATATATGTATATTTCTAAATTAGAAATGTGTGCTTCTGTTAATGTATACAGTATGAAACATAAACAACACAGACAATTTTAAAGGATAAATATAAATTATACAGCATTTTAAATGTAATGTGGTTTGTTAATAGTATACAAAAAATTTTGCTTTTGAGAGAAACATGATTGAATATGCTTCATTATTTATTTAAATCTCCATGTATGTCCCAGAAGATAGGGCAGATGTGTAGAAGATAAATGTTTGTTAGTAATGGATAAATCAATTAGGTTGATCTAAGTAGCCAGTCTAGCAGTTTAAAAAGATACTTTCATATTGAAAGAGACACAATACAGCAATCGAATAACAAGTCACAACAAGTGGAGACCTCAGCTGCTTGGTAAGGGTCATCTTTCTTTGTATGGAGACATTCAGCATACACAATGCAGAAACAAATAAAAATGAATTATCTCTGATTTCAACTTGTCAAAAAGTTTTTTATATGAAATCATTCCTCTTTCTGTATGTGGTTCTGCTTAATAGACGGAATCATGCTTTAATTTTTTGTTAATCATCACATAGTTGAGTTGTGTATGTGTGTGTTTGTTTTTTGTTTTTTTTTTTTTTTTGTGAGTGTGAGGAATAATGGGAAGGCCAGTGTGGCTGTGTCATAATATACAGGAAGGAAGAAAACATTTATTAAGCTCCTACTATATGCCAGATACTTTGATAAGCACTTTACTCATCTGATCCTCACAACAATACTGGAAGGTAGGTAGTATTATCATCCCCATGTTAACACTCAAAAAACAGAGGCAGACAGAGGTTAAATGATTTGCCAAAGTTCACACAGCTAGTCTCTGAGGCCAGACTTGAACTCAAGTCTTCCTGACCACAGGCCCGATACTCTGTCTACTGTACCACCTTGTTGCTTCTAGAAAAAAGATTAATATAGCATGGGACTAGGTTTGGGGCCAAGTTATGAAGGATTTTACCAGACAGAATAGCCTTTATTTTATCCTAGAGGCAACAGAGAGCCAGTAGAGTTTTTTTTGTTAGTTTGTTGTTTTTTGGTGGCATTGAGGTTATGACATGGGCAGATATATACTTTAGGAAAATCACTTTGACAGCTATGTGGAGGATGGATTGGAGAGGGGAGAGATTTGGGTGACTAAGAGCAGTTAGGACATTCCAGTAGTCCAGGGATACCTAAACTTTGGTGATCCTGTGTGAAAGAAGGGGATGAATGGATGCAAGAGATGACATGGAGACAGAGATGGCTCAGAAACTGCTTGGACACGTGTGGGGTGAGTGAACAAAAGTGAGGACTTTTGATCCCATGAATTTGAATTGGGGTTAGTTACTAAAAGTATGGTGGTAACCTCAATTGTAATGGAGAATTCAGAAAAGATTTGGGTTTGAGGGAAAAGAGAATGTAATGAGATTTATGTTGCAGATCTCAATTAATGCATGGATGCCTATCCTGTGCAGCTCCCTTTGTCCCACCCACAAGCAGAGACCTCACCCTCTGAAGAGAACCTACAGAAGCCATGAGGTGAGGGGATGGGGTGGATGGCTATGTTGGGGTGGAGGCAGAAGAAATTTTGCTCTTGGTTCCTGGGTCATGCTTAGATTACAATCGCCTCAAGAAGCAGATGCCTGGAACAAAAGGGAAGAGGTTAGGAGGTCAGGAACTGGAGCAGGTAAAGTAGGGAAGTATTGGGTTGTAATGGGTGAAGTGTACATACGATTGTATTGATGATGAGTTCCATGATTCACTGTCATGTGGAGGGTGGGATGTGACCCATCTTCCTACCCTCTAATTGGTTGATCATAGACTCCTTGGAATCATATCATGGTTCACCAATAGGCCATGGCCTCTATTTTGGAGATCATTACTCTAGACAACAAGGATGAGACTTCATGAGGAATTAGATGGAACTTCTCTCCAAGTCCCTGAAGAGTGGAGGGAGTTGGTCATGCCAAATCTCCTCCAGGAACAGGACCGCATCATCTACCTTGGTAGGTACTAAAATATACAGCTCAGTGCTAGGCACACAGTCCCTATTCTATGCTAACTTGACTTGTTGGCCAAGATGTCCTCTTTACCTTCATATTCAAGGTCCCTCTCAGCCTAGCACCAGCCCCCTTATCTAACTTTAGCTCCCACTATTTGTTCATATAAATCCTATACCACAGTCAAGACGGACTCCTCATTATCTCCTGAACATGACTTGTATTTTCCCACTCCCACACATTTGCTCCCATAGTCTCCTCTCCCTGTAACAGTTTCTTCTTTCTTCTTGACCTATCCAAAGTCTACTTTGTCAAGGTCAAGGTCTGCTAAACAACTGTTCCAAGAAACCTCCTTTTATCACTTTAGGGAAAATAATCTGATCCTGGCCTCCTTTGAACTCTATAGAATCTATTGTTTATAATACTTATCTCATATTCACATAGGACATCGTACTCTTGGTTATTTTTTCATTTGCAGATGTCTTTTCTCCTCAATTAGACTAGAAGTTCCCTGAAATAAGGCCTGTACCTTATTTTTTTTATTACCTGCAGGACCTTGGACATAGCACACAATGAATGAAATCTGGTTGATAAATTTCACTTGCTCTGGTCCTGACTTAGAAGCTTGGTGAGTTCTCCCAAATCCTCCTTTCAGCTCAAGGTGGGGATAGCTATAATGTCTGAAAGTAACCAAATGGATTCTAAATCAACTATAGTTATCTGATGTAAAGCTTATGGCTAACCACTTGGTAACAAGAAAATGCAAAGGGTGGTCATTGAGCAAAAAGTCAACTCTCTCTCTTCTTTGTTCTGGCTGAGCTTTTCTAAGTTGTCTGCATTTGGGACTGTACCAGACATTAATGATGCAGAAATGCAGTGTCCCAATGCACTTTGGACCCACTGTGAATTCAGTTGTTTGGAAATCCTCTCAAACATTTTACTCTTTCAGCTTATACATTTTGGCAAAGTGAGGTTTCATGCATTTAAGGAGAAGGATTTGAAAATTTCCACTCATTAAATGTATTCTGGACATCAAATAACTCCTCTGAAATGGTTGATAGTTAAGTGTGAATCAGCAATAAATTTATGAATTTCCTTTCAGAGATTAATAGATCAGGGAAACTAAAGGAGAAAAGTATGAATAGCAAAATATATTTGGGGATTTTGAGTAGTATTTGGAAAAGAGATTAGGCTATTAGGCAAATTGCATATTTGTCATTTCTGGGCCTCTCATTTTGTCATTATACTATTCTCAGAGATTTTTTCTAGGCTGACATATACATATATACACACATACACATACATACATACATACATACATACATATTGGATAACAAAACAGAAAAAAGTTTAGAACAAGCGCGCAAAAATGAGGAGGAAATAAGTATTTACATAGTGCCTACTCTGTGCCAATTGGGCAGCTAGGTGGTGCAATGAATAAAGTGTAAGGGCTGGAGTCAGGAAGACACATCTTTGTGAATTCAAATCTGGCCCCAGACACTTCCTAGCTTTGTGACTCCAGGTACATCACTTAACCTAGTTTGTCTCAGTTTCCTCATCTGTAAAATGAGCTGGAGAAAAAAAATGGCAAATCACTCTAGTATCTTTGCCAAGAAAACCTCAAATAGGGTCATGAAGAGTTGGACACAACTGAATAGCGATAAAATATGCCAAGCACTGTGTTAAGTAATTTCATAAATATTATGTCACTTGATTTTTACAACAATGAAGGTCAAATTATTTAGCCAGGGTCTCACAGGTAGGAAGTGTATGAGAATAAATTTGAATTCCAGTCTTCTTGAATGGGTACTCCATCTGCTGAACCAAGAGCTATGTGGGATGGGGAGGGTGCTAAGAGAGAAACCATGTAAGTAAGAACATTTTAAAATGCTTTTAAGTAACTTTTCTTTTCTTTTCAAAGTTTGTAGTTATTATGGAAAGATCTGTGATTTAGTCAGCTTTGAGATCTCTGCACCAACCAGCTAGAAATCCTCATGACTCAGTAGACAAATCCTGGAGAGAGGTCTGAGGCAGGCCGTTATCAAGTGACTTGTCTAGGACTTCCTGCAGGTAAGGATCAAAGATTGAGTTTGATTTCAGGGTCTTTTTTCCAAGCCTAGTATGACACCAAACTTTGATGTTTGCTTTTAGAAAATCCACACCGAAAACAAATTAAAGCAAAGCAGTTTACTTCCACAATCACTTTTTAAAAAGATGGAATTTTGTTGTTGTTCTCCCCTCCTTTATTTTTCTCCTCAACTAGCATATAAATTGCAGACTACACTGGGCTGCCCAGGGCTAAACTTCTCCGGCGAAAAGAATGAATCTATTTCTTCAATATGCTCTGCTTCCAAGACCTCAGTTCAGTGCTAAGCACACAGTAGGCACTCAATAAATCCTGAGTTAACAAAACAGCTGTTGCTGGAGTATCAAAATTGATTCATGGTCATTTAAGCTGTTGCCAAAATGTAAAAGTAAAACACATCGTTTGAATTTTTGCTTCTCCCTCTCTCCCACTCACCCCATCAACTGAACCTGTCTAAAATGCTAAGGAATCCTGTGTTGATGCTCTGTTTCACATAGGCGGTGTGGTATTAATGGATAGAGAGTGAACCTTAATGCCATGAAGATGTGGGTTCAAGTCCTGCTTCTGACACACACTGGCTGTGTGACCTTGGGCAAATCAATTAAACTCTCAGTGCTCTACTTAACTGGTACCAATTTGCTTTGGGTAGAGGGAGTTTCCTCATTCAGAAATAGCAATGAAACCATAGGTCTAGTGCCCCACCTCTTCCTTAGAGATGGAGACAGGAGGAAGGGTGAGGATGGTGGGGGTGGGGTGGGGACAGGACATTTAAAATCATATAATCATTTAAGTCCTGTTCTATGGCTCCCCTTGGGAACCCTAATTCATCTTTGAAAACTCCATCCAGTTTATCAAAAAGTGCCTGGTAATCAATAGTAAAGCAAATTGGAATCTTTATCTTGTAACATTTTCTCTCCTTTTGATCAATCGTTTATTAAACATTTGTCAAGGGCTTACTATGTGTCAAGCACTGTGTTAAGGCTGGGGATACATAAAGAGGCAAAAGATTGTGCCTGCCCTCAAAGAGCTTACAGTCTAATGGGGAGGGGGAGACAACATGAAAACTAATATATACAAAGCAAGTTATATATAGGATAAAAAGGAAATAACAGAGAGAAAGCACGAGAATTAAGAAGGTTTGGGGAAGGCTTCCCGTAGAAGGTGGGATCTCAGTTGAGATTTAAAGGAAGTCAAGGAGGTCAGTAGTCAGAGGTGAGGTGGGAGAGCATTCCAAGCACGGAGAATGAGAGAGATAATGACTACAGTTGAGAAATGGAATTTCTTGTTTGTAGAACAGCCACGAGGCCAGTGTCACTGGACCAAAGAGTCCTTGTTGGGCAGCAAGGTGTAGGAAGACTGGAAAGGTAGAAGAGGGCTGCTAGATTATGAACATCTTTGAATGTCAAACAGTATTTTGTATTTGATCCTGGCAGGCAATAGGGAACCCCTGGAATTTATTGAGTGGGGGTGGCACGTAACATATTGAGATCTGTACTTTAGGAAAATCACTTTAGTGGCAAAATAAAGGATAGATTTGAGTGGGGAGAGACAAGGCAGGTGGACACACCAATAGACTATTGCATTAATCCAGGTGTAGGTGATGGGGTCCTTCTCCACAATGGTGGCAATATCAAGAGAGAAGGGGATATAGTGGAGAAATGCTGCAAAGGTGGAATCGACAGGCCTTGGCAACAGATTGGATATGGGGTGGAGGGGGAGTGTGAAAGATGGTGAAGAGCTGAGGATTTCTCTGTCCTAGGTAGTGAGCCTGATGGACTGAGGATGGTGTTGCTCTCTTCAGTTATAGGGAAGATAGGAGTGGGGGAGGGTTTAGGGGGAAAGATAACATGCTCTGTTTTGAATGTCTTCTAGGCATCCAGTTGTATGTCCACTGAACATCCAGTTCAAGGTGTCTGAAAGGCAGTTGGAAATGTGAGATTTGAGGTCAGCAAAGAGTTTAGGGCTTGGTGCAGCTCCATATCATTGCCTGCGGCTTTCTGCAGTTTTGAAGATACATTCAAGAATTAACCTCTAGTACTCCCAACAAAAGGAGAAGAGAAATAGTATGAGGTGGTGGGAAAAGAAAAGTCAATTGTGATTAATTCTGAGTACGCAGATAGGTAGCAAACAATTGGCTTTTTCCTTGAATTTAACTCTCTGCTGCCCAACAAGGGTAAAGCCATTGTATTGGATGACCTCTAACATTCAATGAGTCTGAATCTATAAGCCTGATGCGTTTTGTCCAGAGTTGCTGCTTCTTCGGTGCAGAAAACAAGTGTCTGTGTATGTGGTTTGGTATGTGTATGTACACAGCCATATTATTGTGCAAGGGAAATATTTTTTCCACTTTTTTTCCAAAACTTGGGAGTGGGCTGGATGAACAATGGAGAGAATATGCAAGTGAACATGATAAGTATTATCAATTAGCTTATTTTGTCTGTTCTCAAGTTGTTTTGTAGATACTGTGCTAGTGCAGAAATGACCCATTTATCGGTCAGAACAAATTGAAAGAAGTGGTGCATAGAAAGTGGGAGATTTTATGATGTATAAATAAATGGATTAGTGATTTATTGCTTTCCTTGTTGTGATTTGACTTGTTACGTGACTGCTTTGATGTGAGCTCCTCTTAATGCATAAGAAACTGAATGGACCTGTATGGGACCCAATGCAAATGTACCTTATGTTGAATTTTACCCTGTAGGGACTAGTGCTACAAAGAGGCACCTCTGTAATGGGTGTGATCTAATTCATGGACTACCAGTGAGAGTCTCTATTCAGCTTTGTCTCTGTGACCAGAAGTCACCTAACCTCTCTATGTCAGCTTCTGCAATGACCTTTTTTGACTCTTTGCCCACCATCCCTTTGACCTCAGCAACTGGAGCCACCTGTTGTTTCAACTTCACTCAATTTTCACAGGGAGGAGTTGTAAGTCATCAATTCAAACTTCCTCCTGGTTCTGTGCTGACTTTCATGAAATCATGGAATCTTACCATTAAAAGGGAAATCAGAAGCCCCTAGCCCACTCCATACCTATGTAAGAATCCTCTCTACAATATTTCTGACAAAAGGTCATCCATCCTTTGCTCAAAGTCCTCCACTGAGAGGAAGCTCCTTGTCACCTAAGGGTGTCTATTCCACTTTTAAATAGCTCTAAAAGTTTGAATAACTCCAAGTTTTCCTACATTCATACCTAAGTTCACCTCTAAAATGTCCACCCATCTGAGCTCTGCCCTCTGAGGCTAAGTAGAACACGTTGATTCAGTTTTTCCATGTAGCAACCCTTAAAACACTTGAAGAGAATTTCTACCAAGATCTCCCTGAGTTTTCTTTTCTCTGTGATAAATGTCTTCACTTTCCTTAGACACCAATCAATCAATTAATCAATTGGCAAGTATTTATTATGAACCTACTATGTACCAGACATTGTGCTATGTGGCAGGGGAGGGGATGAATATATGCAGGGTGTCCTAGGAGTCTTAGCAGATAGAGTTTTAAGCTGTAATAGATCTTTGTATAGATATAGATAAAAATATAGACACATATTTGCGTGTGTATAGCATATAGAATGATGGAATATAAGTTCATAAAGAAAAAGAATTATTTCATTCTTTATATATGCATGTGCATACCTTCTTTGTATGTACACATGTACATATCATCTGTGAATGCACACATGTATAAATATAACCTATATACATAATTAGCAGTGCATACACATATGTGTATTACCTATATGTATATATCATATGTACATATGTACATATATGTTGTTCAGTCATTTTTCAGTTGTGTCCAACTCTTCATGACCCCATTTAGGGTTTTCTTGGCAAAGATACTGGAGTGGTTTGGCATTTCCTTCTCCAGCTCATTTCACAGATTAGGAAACTGAGGCAAACAGGGTTAAATGACTTGCTCAGGGTCATACAACTAGTAAGTGTCTGAGGCTAGATTCAAACCCATGAAGATGAGTCTTCCTGACTTGGGACCTAGAGGTCTATCCACTGTGCCACTTAGCTGCCATACACATATATACATATATACATATATTATGTACACATACAAAAAGAATGAAACAATTCCTTCTTTTTATGAGCTTACGATCTATCATTCTGTTGGGTGAGATTACCTTTGCATGTATATATGTATGCATGCATGTGTGTATGTGTATATGTGTATGTATGGAATCAATAAAAATAAACTATTAGAAGTTAAATAAACGATATTTAGAGAGAGAAGGCAATAGATTCTGATATGACATGATCTCAAGGCCTTTCAGCATCTTAGTCACTTTCTTCTCGCCACTCTCGCTCATCAATATCTTTATTAACTACATGACACCCAGATACGTATCCTTGTACTCCAGTGCCATTTATTGCTAGAAACATTTAAGTTTTTACTGTGCACAAGGCACTATACCAGGTATTGGTGAACCCAAAGACAAAGCAGTCTTTGCCCTCAGGAAGCCTATATTTTACACAAATTCAACAGGTAAATAAGTATTAAATTGAGGGAAAGGGCTCTAACTAGGGAGTCAGTGAAGGCTTCATAGAGCAGATGGCACCTGAGTTGATGCTCCAAGTAAAAAATTCTTCAGAGCAGTGATGACAAAGGACCACACTTTAAGCTTGTGCAAATGTTTGGAGTTGGGAGTTGTAGAAGATAAGGCAGAAGAGATATATGGACACACACTTAGGGAGTAGAAGTTGGATGCTAAACTAGCAAAGGATATTTGGAAGAAGGGAGACAGGTAGGAGGAGGACCAAGAGAAAACAGCATCATGAAAGCCAAAAGAAGAGAAAGGATCCAGGAGGAGGGGGAGGGGTTGGCAGCATCCAAAGTTGCAAGGAGGTTGAGGAGGATGAGGACTGAAAAAAAATGCCCTCTGAAATAGCAGTTAAGAAATCACCGGTAACTTTGGCAAGAACCATTTCAATTGAGTGGTGGGGCCAGAAGCCAGACATCAAGGGGAGGAGAAGTGAGTGGGAGGTGAGGAAGTGAAGGCAACAGGCACCGAATGATTAATTTTTTTTTCTATTGGATCTACTTTATAAAGGAGAAAAGATATAGGTTACTATGTGGAGAGGGATAAACGGGATCAAATTTAAATATTTTTGTTGCTGTTGTTGCCGAGTGGAGGAGATCTGGTCACGTTGGTGGCATCAGGGAAAGAAGTAGTATAAGAGTAGAGACAGAGATAAGGTAGTGAGGAAATGATCAAATGAGGAAGCTTTCCAAAGAGGTAGCAGGGAAAGGGCTCAAGAGTAGCATAGGGTTTGACTTTGGCATGTAGACAAGAACTACCTTCCCTTTCGGTGGAGTAATGAAGGAAGAGAAAATGGAAAATGATGCAGAGGGGGTTTGAGCTATAGAGGAGGGGAGAAGACGGAATCCGTGGCAGAATATCACAATTTTCTCAGCAAAGTAGAAGGAGGAAAGAACCATGGTTCTTTGCTGAGAGAAGATGGGGACAGGGTGGTAAGTGGCTTCTTGCCTTATTCTCCCAATGGTTAGACCCTAATCTGGTAGACTATTTCCAGTCCCCTAAGTTTTTGCCTTATTTGCTCACCTAATATTCCAGTTCTGAACAATCATAGGGTCTTTGGTTTAGAGTTGGATGTGAACTCAGGTAATCTGGTTTAACCTACCCCTCTCCTGTTGCATACAAAAGTTTACTGAGGCCCAGAAAGATGGAGATTTTGCCCCAAATCTCAGAAGTGAAAATGACAAGTAAGGATGTGAACCCAGGTCTTCTGATTCCAAAACCATCATTCTTTTCAGGGAATGTGCTTTTCCACCTCATCATGCTAGGGCTTAGACTCCTACTCCTGAACCCTATTCATCATTGTTGGCCATGCTGTACCTACTACTTCTTTTCAATGAAGCTGACTCCCCCCCCCCCCCCCCCGCCAACAGGAACCTTAATCTGTTGTTTATTGTCACACTTCCCTGATGCCTACTGCCCATCCACCTGGACTATCTTTTTATCATCTCCTGTTTGAAATGCCCCCAAACCCTCTCTACTTTATACCATAAGTATATATACCGTAAGTCTTTGGGGCCTAATCATCCCTGATTTGGCAACCTTATTAATGCTAGATTCTTATCTGATTCCATGTTGCTTTTCATGTTTGAGAAATTAAAATTGGACATGTATTTTGAATTGCTAGGAAGAGTAGTCAGAAAACAATACTTAAGTTTAGGAAGAGAACTCCTGGTATGGAAACCCCCTCCAACATTTAAAATTTTAACCTTCTGTGACTTAGTATATCACCCACAGGAAATATCCTATAGTCTAGACAAGTTCAAGAGGCATCACTGTACAGGAGATAGAGAGCTAGCCTTGGGCTCAAGTTAGGGCCTGAATTAGCGTAATGGTCATGTGGGTGTAGAGGAGGGGGCAGATTAAACTACTTTATAGAAGTAGAGCCAGTCTGGGGCTCTTTATAATCATCTGTTAGCTCACATTAAAAATGTCAAAATATGAAAGCTTGGGATCCTTTTTCTTATTTTCAGTGATAAACAAATGATCAATAGGCTGGATGTAGGTGCAGGATGATGAATTCTTCAGTCCCAGCACCTCTACCCAGCATTACCTACTAAAACATAGAGGGGGGAACTCAATTTGTGTCCATGAAAGGAGCATTCACACTTAGGAAACTGTCAATGTTGGAGTCAGTGGAGAAGATAATCACCTCAGGCTCTTTAGAGAACATTGGAGAATTCAAATTTCCTTTCCAAATAGCTGTTGTGTTTTGTCCAGAATTCATAGCACCATCAAAGCTGTTAATTGACCTGTTACAACACCAGCTCATTATCACTTTTCTAGATCTCTGGGATGTAGCTATGTTTCCATTTTTAGTGAATGACTCTCCTTCCTTTTGCCACACTAAGTTGTTGAAGCTAAAAATAATCCAGAGGAATGGCATTCAGGACAATGGCCACCTGTTGAAATGTGAGACTGATAAAATTATCAGGTAGTACAGGGCATTCTTTTTCTCCGAGGCATATTATGAAACTCTGTGATAGAGTTCTCAAGATAGGAATTGTTAAAGACAGGACCAGTGTTTTCATTTTTTTTTTCGTTTTGCTTTGTTTTTCCGTCAGCCTCATCGTAAGACCTATGGCAACAGTGGTGAGCAATGAAATCTCCAGTCATTCTCTTTGGCCTCACAGGACAAATTTATCGCCATCCTCAGTGGAGCCTGCATCCAGTTTTCCAACATGGGTGCACTTCACACAAAGGGTATTGATACTGCTCTTTTGGAGAAGACGTAAGAAGAACAGCATTTGATTGTTAAAGGACAGCACGTGCTCACGCACTCATGTGCTCTCACACACACATTCTTCCCCCGTCCTGGCCCAAATCAGGTCGTGGATTTCTGACTCGCTGTTGCTGTTGTTGTGAGAGAAAAATGGATCTTTCTGCTCCCTGCATGCTCAGAAAACCAGATGTTATCATCACTTGATTATTTCTCTGCTGGTACAGCTTGTTTCATTTATTAAAGAAAAGACACGGTTGAAATTGGATCTATGCAATACATGTCAGTAAGCTTTATGTGTTTGTGAATAATAAACAGCTTTCAGTGTTCGGCTCTGAGTCCTAAGCTATAACACTGTCATATGAGTTTATGGTCCGTTGAACAGGCCACATCGTGGTGTCTGTCTCTTTAAATGGGAAAACACCTTTAAGAATAGAGGAGGGGGTTGGGTGGGGAGGTGGACAAAGACACAATTTCCATTTCACAAGCAGTAGAGGGAAAATGCCTTTGTTCAGTTAGGAAAAATGGACCATGTCTCATGGCTGCTGCAGTTTAAGTAAACATAAACTCTGGCCCAAATAGCATAACCATCATTTCCTCAATGCTAGCAGCACGAAACCAAAATATAGTTTTATTTGGCTAACCCCAAAGTAGGATGTGGTTGCCAGCCTCCAAAACCACATGATCGAGTTTCAAGCAGACGCCACTGGAGCTATCCCGTTGTCTTAAGCAGAAAAGTCATAACTGCGTTGACTCTCTACACCATCATTATGTTTAACAAACAGCTGTAACCATAACAACAAGTACCTTCTCTCCGAATCCTATAGGCCCTCGTGCCCTATAATGTTCAATGTGCAGCCTCTCTTGGTTCTATGGCTTTGCTGATAGAAAGGCAAGGATGTTGTTATAAATGGCATGGCCAACAGAAAGGGGGTGGAGAAGGAGAATTGCAGGCTGATGTGGGAGAAATGACCCCATCCCCTTTGGCATATTTCACATTCTACTATGAGAACAGAACATCTGGAAACAACTGGCCTGGGAACCATCTTGAGAAGCTACACCTGGGTCTTCTTGGAAATTTGCTTTGGTAAAAAGCTGATCCAGAGAATAGGAAAGGGCCAACACATGGTGACAACATGCCACCATTTTGTTTGTCTCTCTGATTGAGAAGGAATACTTTACCAACTTGTAAGAGATTGTTCCCTCTTCAGAACCATTTCAAATTTCTTGAGGCCTGCAAGGATAAAATCCTTGCTTCGAGACTTCAAAACATTTCCATGTTTGTGGGAGATAATGATCTATTTGTTTACTCCGATGATATTGTTTCTTTCCCTAGCAGCAGGCACCAGTAGTCAATGTGCACTCCTTTGCCACCTCTGAGGATGGACAGATGATAGAGTTGGGCCCCCCCAAGTTAATGACTAGCACTATATTCAAAAGCTCGTTTGGTTTGGTTTTCATCCAATGCTTCAATGCTGCTGATGAGAGGGAATTAATTTTATTGAGAACAACTCAGTGAATTAAAAGAAAAACTGCTCATTTGGCTGGAAATGCTTGGACAGAAGGTAGAGCAGCCGGTCACATTTGAAACACTTTACATCTCAGAGACTTTTTTGAGAGGGAAGTGACAAATGAGGTGTGCGTGTGCATTCGTGTGTGTGTGTGTGTGTGTGTGTGTGTGTGTGTGTTTGTGTGTGTGTGTGTAGGGAGCAGCTTAAGCTACAAGGCCACTATTACAGGGTGGTATGAATAGTAACGGAGGCAAGCTGCAACCCTTCACTCTGATTCCTGGGTCTCCTGCCCCTTTTGTCTGATGATGAACTGAATCTGTTCATGATCCCCCTTCTCCCCCCATACACACCCCATCCCCTTCACTTCAATAAACACCCAATAAGAAGCTAATCATCCTATGGTGAATTGGAGAAGAAGAAAAGATGTTCAGGGAAATGTTATGGTCATAGAAAACTCCTTAGCATTGGAACCATCTGGTGCCCTGTGACAACAATGCCTGGGATAACTGAGTGCCCAGCAACTTCTTTGGGAGACAAATAATGGGCACTCACCCTGATTTGTATTCTTTACACCAGTAATTCCTCATCATTTCACACCACATCTGCACGTTTCCTTGATCAATACAGTGTTACCAATAAGTGACCACACTTAATTAAGCCCACATCATTCTTCTCCAAAGAGAAGAAAAGTTTGTGTGGAGGCCCAAGAAGCACAATTGAGATTGTAGTGACCCTTATTTTGGGTGCGGAATTGAGATTGATGGCGATCTCATGCCACCAAAATACCCCTCCACCCCCCACCCTTACCAACATGGGGCGGGGGAGGGATAGACTGTGAAAGCATCAGGCAAATCAACAGCTGTGTATAATGTGAGGCTTTCAGGCAAGCAGGCTCCTGGAGGAGGTGACGGCCCCCATTGTCATGTAATCTGGCTTTTGAAAAAGTGTTACAATTGATTTGATTTGATGTCTAAGGTGCTCAGCCACTAGTGTATCATTAAAAACCCTTTAAGAAACTGGAGAATAGACTCTACAGCCAAAGGCTGTTTGGTCCACTTAAAAAAAAAAAGTTTTCCACTCAAGCTGACAGAGAGAGCCTGAGGGTAAGCTTAGAATAAATACAACAGTTTTTTTTTTTTCCCTTTTAATCACCAAGATTAAATGATAGAAGTGACTCAAAGAGCCCACTTTACCAAAATGAGAGAATGTTTCATTTTTAATTTGACTTACTGGCTCATAGGCCTAAGAAGGCCGTGAACATCCATCCTTGGGTTAGCAATGGGGATTGAATCCTCCCCTCTCTCCCTAAGGGATACTGGTCCAGTAGTGTGTATTTGTGTTTTCCCCCTAAACTTCTCCAAATGGGAAAATATGAAGTAGTCCCAGTGAGAGGAATTTGAGGCTTAATGTGAAGGGTATTAATAAGCAAAACCCAGCCAGAAAAGGCATGATTCAAGAAGCAAGGCCTACCCACAGACTCTCTGCTGTTATCTTGGTCAAAAGCAAATCAGCGACTTTCTCCCCACCTTCTTGGAAGATAAGAAGCAGCATTGAGTCAGGGCCCTCTGAAGATATTTTTCAGAACAAGTGTCAAAATACCCCAAAGCTCTCTGAGGGTCACTTCACACACACAGTGTGCCCCTCATTTGTTTATCTAAATGCTGACAAATTGCAGTATTTTAACAACATATCTTTGGTACTGAGCTTCATTTGCATGGGTCTGCCCTCTATCATTGAGCTGATAATGAGCCCAGGCATAAAGCCCTCATTCATGGCTCCAAAGAGCCTGACAGTGATGAATACCAAGTAGGAGATTTAGGTAGTTTATACAAGAATATAGTATTGTGCTAAATCTCTCTTCTTTTATCTTCCCTGCTGCTCTTTTTCAGCCCTTTCAAGTAAACTGCCTCTCCCTCCCTCTCTAAGGAGTGTCTTTCACCTCATTTTCACTTTTAATGGGAGCATATTCCACCCCATCAGCTAGGCATGGGTTCTTTTGGCCTTGGCAATTATCTTCCCCAGCTTATCCCTTTGTTAGCCCCAGAAAAATGCCAGTACAGCTTGAGTGGTGGGACAGTTTTGCTTGTCAACTCAGGGAATTAATAATTATGGGGCACTGCAGAACACGATAGCCTTCTGTCTTGGCAAGACTCCTACAGTCGCAGAGGGGGTCATTTGCTTCTCCTTCAGGACACCGATGGTTCTTTTCCAGGAAAATAATGTATCCAGGGTATTCTCTTGGCCCACGCTCAAATGCCTGCAGTTTGGGTGGGTTATGGTCAAGTTCTCAAAAATTTTCAGGAGTTAGTCAGTCCAGCTCAGACGGAATGAGTGATCCTACGTGGGTGGTTGCTTGAGTGTCGATTTCGTATTTGCCCATGGCAAACATTTATTCCTTGTGCTCTTTGGAAAGGAAAAAAAAAATTGGTAACTGAGCACTCCAAAGAATCAACGTAAGCTCTTGGAGGACTACAGCTGTCAGTCCATTCCATCATGCTGTGCCATGTCTAGTAAGTGAGGTCCTTGGGTTAATGCATTAGATTTGTAATATAGGCATTCCCAATCTTATGTGCAGGCTGATGACCATTCTTACATGCATACTTTATTGATGAAATGGCTTCTCTCTGTGGGGAAGTATCCTTGTCATTGGGTCAGTCAATTCCTCTCTTCTCTTTTCCAGTGGCTTCTGTCTCTTGGGATCCTGCGGGACTGTTGCACTTGCCTGACTGACCATTTGGACCCACTTCTATCCCCCAAAGCTCTGCTCTCCTCCTCCCTAGTCTCTTTATACTTGTCTCTTGTGCTGAGACTTTATAATGATAGTCTCCATTTAATCTTAAGACCACTTAACTACATTGTTTTTGAAGGTTCAGACCTCTCAGCCCCCTTCTCCTCCACCGTTGTGGTTAAGTTTACTCTATTCTCATCTCCCTCTAGTGAGAGTGCGGCTACTTTTTTTCTGATAGGCCTATGACCCTGTGTCAGCTCAAACACCAGTGAGGTTTGCGCATGGCCTGGGTTGGAGTTCCAAGTGCCAATTCTATTTGTTTCAGTATCTGACTCATAGAATTATAATATATCAGAGCTGGAAGTCAACTTTTTGTTGTTTGGTTGTTTTCAGTTGTGTCCAACTCTTCATGACCCTATTTGGGGTTTTCTTGGCAAAGGTACTGGAGTGGTTTGCTCATTTTACAGCTGAGGAAACTGAGGCAAACGAGGTTAAGTGACTTGCCCAGGGTCACACAGCTGGTAAGTGACTCAGGCCAGATTTGAACTGAGGAAAAAGAGTTTCTGAGTCCCAGCCCAGCACTCCATCCACTGTGCCAGCTAGCTGCCAGAAGTCATCTAGTCTAATCCATTGTTTTACAGATGAGGAAAATGAAACCAAGAGAGATTAAATGTCTTGACGAAAGTAAACACTTAAAATGACAAACTGTGACTAGAACCCAGGATTCTCAAATTGTGGTCTAGAATTTATTTTACTGTATCACAAGACATAGATATTACAAGACCAAGAGAAAGACAATATGAGAAAGATATAGGAAGAAATAATTGAGAGAAAATGGGAGAAGTCTACCTGTCATTCCAACTCCTTATTTAATAGATGAGAAAACTGAGTTCCTGAGAGGTTAAAGGACTTTTCCAGCGTCACACAATTAGCAGACCTAAAGTTTAAATTCAAGTCCACTAACCCTAGACTTGAAACTCTTTCCTTTCTACCATTTGGTATAATTATTCTATTAGTATCTCTAGTGCT